CTCTGATAGGAAGCTGAGCAGCGGTGCTCTGGTCATTGGGTCTGATTTATGTCAAGAAAGTGTACAAAAGAAAATGGAGGTTCTCTATCTCACTCTTGCTCTCTCCTGATCTCCTGTTACTATATAACAGGCATCCTTTTCCTTTAATTACCTTCTTCATGGCTTGAGAGCTTTGATGACTTGATTAAGCCTTGCAGTGCAGTTCCAGTCCCTACCCAGCTGATTAATTAGCCCAAACCTTATTAACTTCCTAATTCTGATCAATAAGGCACTGATGCTAAACTGTGCAAGGGCAAACTAAGGAGGCAATTTTATTGCAAGACACAGAGTCCCTATTGGTTTTTTTAATCATCTTTTTTTGTTGTTTAATCTTACTTTTTAATGCCAACCAGGTTGGAATATGGTAATTCAATAATAGTCCTATGCAGACTACACACTTTCCAATCATAACCACTTTACTTGCTGCACCAGCACTATTTGATGGCACGACTGGGGGAACTTTGCTTAAAAATGCAGGGTCTCTGTTAGTCAAGATATTGGATAAGAGTTGCTTACGGCCAGAGAAAAAATATGATGATAACTGATGCAGTCATTTCTTCTCTGCAGGAAAATGACAAAATATGTAGCAAATCTTCCAATATCGTACACCAACACTATTCAATAGAAATATTTTGAATTTTCTAGAAGGCATATTGAAAAAATTAAAAATTAACTAGTGAAATGAACTTCCCTCCCCACTTGTGCTACTGCCCCTGGTAACCACTATTCTATTGTTTCTTTGAGTTCAGCTTATTAAATTATACATATAAGTAAGATCATACAACATTTGTCTTTTTCTGTCTGATTTATTTCACTTAACATAATGTGTCCTCAAGGTCCATCCATGCTGTTACAAATGGCACAATTTCCTTCTTATTATGGCCAAATGATATCCCATTGTATGTATGTGTATATGGTTGGTTGGTTGGTTGGTTTAGTCGCTAAGTCGTGTCTGGTCGCTCTTGCGACCCCATGGACTGTCGCCCGCCAGGCTCCTCTGTCTTTGGGATTCTCGAGGCAAGAGTACAGGAGTGAGATGCCATTTCCTTCTCCAGGGGATCTTCCCGACACAGGGATCGAACTTGGATCTCCTGCATTGCAGGCAGATTCTTTACCAACTGAGTTACAAGGGAAGCCCATATGTGTATATATACCACATTTTTAAAACCCATTGGTTCATTGGTGGGAGATATAGGTCAAAGGGGACAAGCTTCCAGTTAAAAGATGAATAAATTCAGAGGTTCTAAAATGTACAGCATGATCCAGGGAACCCCACTTTGAGAACCACTGTGGAACTCAGACTGATTTCAACCCATCTCCTTCAGGATATAGAGATCTGTGCAGATGTGACATCCCCTGCCACCAAGGCAGGTCTTGTGACTTTGCATCAATTCTATTTCCCGCAGTCACTTTTAGAGCCTGGTCTAGCTTCAACCTTCCAATTGTCCCCCAAATCACATGAAATTCGGAAGTTTAAAAAAAAGACTAGGGACTTCACTGGTAATCCAGTGGTAAAGAATCCACCTTCCAAAAAAAAAAAAGAATCCACCTTCCAGTTTGATCCCTGGTCAGGGAACTAAGATCCAGGGATGTGGGTTTGAACCCTGGTCAGGGAGCTAAGATTCCACATACCTTGTGGCCAAAAAAGCCAAACATGAAACAGAAGCACTATTGTAAAAAAAATTCAATAAAGACTTTAAAAATGGCCCACATCAAAAAAAAAAAAAAACACATAATCTTTCCACTTTGAAAAAGCAACAGAAAAGCTCTTCGTAAAAGACGGGTGATGCTAAGACAGGTCAGTAGGGTTTATCAACAGCTATGCGTTGCTCTCTCCCAGGTGCAAAGCACTAAGCAGAACTGCTTCAGGTGAAGATGAACATCCTTAGAATAACTCAGAAATATGATTGGCCCACCAACTCCCACCCTCCTTCCAAATGTTCTCCCCAATTTCCAGCCTGATAGTCACCTCAGGACTTTTGTCAACAAGGCCAGAGGGGCAATCAAAAGTGCCACTCCGGAGTCATGCTTTAAAACTCTTTACTGGTCTTCACAGCTTACAAACCCCTGTCTAATTCTTTTTTTCACATTTAATTTATTTTTAAATACTTATTTTTCATTTATTTGGTTGCACCCAGCTCTTTGTTGCAGTATGTGGGATCTAGCTCCCTGACCAGGGATCAAACCCTGATCCCCTGCATTGGGAGCTCAAAGTCTTAGCCACTGGACCACTAAGGAAGACCCTCCCCTCCTTAATTTCTGTTTTTTGTCTTTCCCATTCCCAACCATCTATTTTTGGAACTACTAATACTTTTAGACTTTATCAAGGCAATCCCAAACTCTGTCATTAGCAAATGTGTGACCTTAGGCAAGTTTCAGAACTTCTCTCAGCACCTTGGTTGTTAACAGCTTTAAAATGAGTCAGCATCTTTCTTGGCACCTAAGCAAATGGAGATGAACATTCCCAGAGGTGCTGAAAATTCTGCCTCCCATGGACCCGTCCCACAGCCAAGTCTTCAAACTGGAGTGGAACCACCCCTGCAGTGACTTTTCAGACATCCTGTGACCTTGGATGGTCTTAAAGTAATTAAGTTCCACAACCTTTACTTCCTTGGTTATGGAGCTTCCCAATAGCCTGACAAAGGAAAATGCCATTCTTACTCAATCCAAACTAAACTCTGATCATTGCTCCAGGACATAAAGCTTTCCTGGGGCCCCAGAAAGGGAGCTTTTTAAATGACTACTCCAGTCACCTATCTTGCATTTCCTTTTATGCTCCTGTCTAGTCACACTTCTATTAAAAGAAAAGCATAGCCTTAGGGCTTCCCTGGTAGTTCAGATGGTAAAGAATCTGTCTGCAAGACAGGAGACGCTGGTTTGATTCCTGGGTCACGAAGATCCCCTGGAGAAGGGATAGGCTACCCACTCCAGTATTCTTGCCTGCAGAATTCTATGCACCGAGGAGCCTGGCAGGCTGCAGTCCATGGGATCACAGAGTAGTGAGCGACTTTCACTTCACTTCACTTCATAGCCTTAGAAATATGGTGTTTTGGTCTGCTTTGGGTACTTTGATTTTAAATTTAGGTAGACTAAACGGTGGGATAAAGAAAATGTTTGACTTTGCTTCTTCCAGATCATTTGTCACAGAATGCTTCACTCCTGATAGACAGTCCAAGAGAGTAAGGAAAGGAAGCATTAAAAGGGATGTTAAATGCTAAAAAAGACCTCTGATCATTTAAATACAAGCGATTCTTAGATAGTGCATGTATGCTCAGTTGCTCGGTCATGCCCAACTCTTTGTGACCCCGTGGGCTATCACCTGCCAGGCTCCTCTATCCATGGCATTTTCCAGGCAAGAATATTGGAGTGGGTTGCCATTTCCCTCTCCAGGAGATCTTCCCCATCCAGGGGTCGAACTGGCATCTCCTGCAATGCAGACAGATTCTTTACCGCTGAGCCAACCAGAGAAGCCCTCTTAGATACTGTGCAGAAGTTAAAAACAATGATAGTTCTCTAGAAACTGATAAGAAAGGTACATCCAGACTTACGGTAAAAATGAAAAACCCAACTGCTACCCAGTTACGTGCAGCTGATCCAATAAGTTTTTTAATGACTCCACAAAATAAAAGCATATGTTGCCAATAGGGTCTCTATATGCATGTAAATGCATTGACAAATTTCCTGAGAAAACACACTAACCTGTTAAGGAGAAGGGAGCTGGTAATGAAGTGAGAAGGACAAAGGAGACTATTGCTTTACCTGTATTGAGTAATTCTCAGTGAGAATGTATACAAGAATTATTTGTGTAAATAAAGCAATATTTAGAACAGAAAAATAAATAAATACAAGCAATTCTTTTTCGGTTATTCTCCATACTCAATCCTGGACTCAACACTGTGGGAACACATTTAGATATCAAGTTTAAAATGTAAACACCCTAGAGAAGGAAATGGCAACCTACTCCTGTTTTCTTGCCTGAAAAATTTCATGGACAGAGGAACCTGGCAGGTTGCAGTCCATGGGGTCGCAGAGTCAGACACAACTGAAGTGACCGAGCAAAGCACTTCAGCAAACATATATTGGGCTTGGTCACTGGGGATATGAAATACTAGGGATATAAAACAAAATGCTGTCATACCTCGGGAAAAAAAATGTGAACAGAATACCCATGGTTTTCCAAGATTAATTTATGGAAAGCGTTAGTCTCTTAGTCCTCAGTCATACCTGACTCTTTGTGACCCTATGGACTGTAGCCTGCCAGGCTCCTTTGTCTATGAGATTCTGTAGGCAAGAATACTGGAGTGTGTTGTCATGCCCTCTTCCGGGGGATCTTCCCAACTCAGGGATCGAACCCAAGACTCCTGCATCTTCTGCACTGCAGGTAGATTCTTTACCCACTGAGTCACCTGGGATTTCAAAACAGCAAAACTCCATAAATTGGGTAACAAGCTTGGCAGGGCTGTGAGGGTACCCTCTTACATTGCCAGGGGGAGTGTAAACTGGCACAGCCCCCTTTGGACCACAATTTGGCAATATCTGTCAGTGTTACACATATTTAACCACATCTGGCATGCATCCAGCTGTCCTTGCACACAAGCGAACGGAGGATGGGCAAGACCATTCACCTGTCTTTTGCTGCCTTGATTACGTTAGCAAACACTGGAAAAAAACAATCCATCGGTGGGAGACAAATGAAATAAACTATGTCATATCCATACAATGGAGTACTACACAGCTCCAAAAAAGAACAAGAAACCTCTGTTTGGAAAAGGTTTTGAAGACATGCTGATAAACAAGAAAAGTTCACATAGAAGAAAATGTTGAGGAAATAAGACGTACATCTGTATTTGTAGAAAGAAACTCTGGAAAGACATCTCAGAAGCTGGTAAAAATGGTTGCTCATGAGAAGTGAAAAGATACTTCACCATATATATTTACCGTATATGTATTTTGTTTTATTTTTAAGTTATGTGAATGTCTTACCTAGTCAAAAAATTTAAAAATTAAAAGGACTCTGCAGTGGGATGCCTGTGTGGAGTCGCAGCTCTAACTTGGGCAGATTACTCTTCTCTGTGTGTTTCAGTTTCCTCATCTGTACAAGAAGTTGAGACGATGACAAAAGCCACCATAAAGTATTTAGAACAGCGCCTGGCACATCAAATTTTTTGAAGGTAAAATTTTAGTCAGGTGTTTCAAGTTTTAGAAATAAAATATAATCCTATTTTCAGAAAGGGCTTGATATCCATCAATGAGTGAAAAAAGTACTACTATATTTGAACTAGTAGTGTTCTAAGTATTTAGAAAATACTGAATTCACACTAAAAGCCTGTGTGATAGGAATTATTATCTCAGAACTTTGTTGCCCCAAATCATACAATTAATTATATCTGTTTCTAACGTCCATGCTCTTAATTACTACACCACTTGCCTGTCAGAAAAGAAGAGGTAGGTTCTTAAATTTGTAAAAGCAAGTAGAATTTCAAATACAACAGCTTAAAAATCTCCAAGCCTAATTACCATATTGGGCAGCATTGTAAGGCTAATACTCTGCTTACAAAGCAATTATGACTGAATGGGGGTGGGGTAGGGTGGGAAGTAGAAAATGTGGGCTTTGCTTTTCATGTAGTGAATGCTGTCTTTAAAAGCAGCAGAGCAACTGTCAATAGCAAGGAAAAAATTGACATGGAAAATAACAGAAAAACTATTAAATATCTTAAAGAGAATCTCAGCCAGAAAAATACTTTCAAACTTCAAATGAACTTCTAGTAATAAATGTAAAATGAAAATGTTATACTGTTCCTGCTTTGATAATCAGGTACCCTCAAGTGGAATATAGAAAATTCCAGGTCTTCTGTTTTAAAATTGCAGCTATAAGAACTCACAAGAATTGTATTAACAGTTTCACTTACGGGATGCTTTTAGCGAATAGGCATTGTCCTCTTTTCTTCTACTACTCTGCATGAAGTGTAACCTGAAATTAAAGATTTCACAATGAGAGCTTCCTGAAGACTGAGCTCTTACTTAGATTATGTTCATGTTCCTCTTGATTGCTCTTCGTGGCCTAGTCAAATAAACCAAAAAAACCTCATGTGACAATATCTGAAATTAAGGCAGTGATTTTTTTTATCCAAAGGATATGCAGTCCTCATCCTATCCAGTTGCTCAGGCTTTCACCTCATTTGGTCTGGCACAGAAATTAAGTTCATTTTACAGCTCATCACACTCAGCATATGCTCCAACAAATGGATTCCTGTGTCCAGAGACCAGTAAAATCCCTGTCTCCCTTGGGGATTCTGCTATAGCATTTGTTCGAGGACATTAATGGATGTCCTAACCAGTCCATGGTTTCTAAAGCAATGACAACTCAAGGTCATACTCTCAAAATGAGACGTGTTCAATATAAAGACTACAAAAAAATTGTATGTGAGTAGCACACACAAGACATTTTTGGTGATGTCAATCAAACATATTGCTTCTTTTTCCAATATGAAATTTAATGGGAACTCTTATTTTAAGAGGCATTTTAAAAATCAACAAATCAATCTCTCCTAAGAAGCCTTTTGCATAAGAACCCAATATTTGCTCAGAGGCATTGCAGGGAAACCTAACTAGAAATGCGTACCCAGTGAGTGATGAAAAAATGGCCAAGATTATAAACTCTCAAAACTTATGCCCCAAGCTCCTCAAAAGGTTCCATTATGATCTCCATCAAACTACTTCAAATGGAAGTTCAGCAACTCTTTTAGGCAAAATATTTTTAATAACCTGAAGTTTATTGTTCCATAAACTAAATTATAGACAGAAGAATGGATGTATTTCAGTACAGGAGTTAGGATTTTAAAATGGAAAATGTTTAGAATAAAGGGACACTTCCCAAGACAAATGGGAAAGAAAAATACAACTTGGAATTTGAGAGAGTGAGCCAAAAAGTCTGCATGGCAAATCATAGAACATATTATAAAACCAAAACACCACACTTGTCTCATGGAAAGGTAGGCCAGTGGATTAAGGCAATGCTGAGTATGAAAGATACACTAACAGAAATATACCAAAAGCAAAAAGAAATGTTCATTTGACTGAACTGGAAGGAAGTAGATGATTTTACCCTATTTATAGCTTGAGCTAATAAGTATGAATAGAATTTTTTTTACCCAGTTTATGGACACACTTCTAATCAACTTATTACTGTCTAGATTTAACTCGATGTCCATATTGTATATTATAAAACCATAAAAGGGAACACGCATGTGGATTTTTCATGTATAATTTTCGATTACTACAAATCAAACCAGCATGGGATTCAAAGTTCAAAATAGTTACAAATATAGGACTGCCCTGGTGGTCCAGTGGCTAAGACTCTGTGCTGCCAACTCAGGAAGCCTGGGTTCAATTCCTAGTCAGGGAACTGGGCCCCACGTGCCGCAGCTAAGACCTGACACAACCAAATAAATTAAGGAAAAGTGTAACAAACATGTAATAGTGAGCTTATCAAAACACCATCGCTCAGTCCAGTTGAACTGTCTTAGATTTCTGGTTATCCAAGCTCTCCCGTCCTCTGGAGAAACAATAGCAGCCACCAGTACAATGTCCTGCATCTCAGACCCCCTCACTACCCCCTCCCTTGGTGGATGGAGGTTCCTAGTAAAATTCAGAACAGGGTTATCTGAACAGAAAAGGACAAAAATTATATATATATACATACATGTATACACACACACACACACATAATTTGGGAAATACTGAAATGGCAAAAATTATTATCAGACTCACTGTTTTCTCCATCTCTCATTAAGAGTGTAATAAAAGACAAAAAAAAAGGAAAGAATGAAAAAAAGTAGATCTATCAGGTAAATGCTAATACAAAGAAAGCAGATATAATAAATATTATCAGACAAATTAGGACAATCAAGGCTTAAAGTACTAAAAGGGCCAAAGGGAATATTCTATATTCATAAAAGGCATGATTCACCAAGAATAAATAACAGCCAGGCAACTTTACATACCTAGTAACACATATTTAAAATAAGTAAAGTAAAACCCAAAACCCTATAGCAAGACAAAGTTATTGACAAACCCACAATGGAATGGGAGATTTTAACCTATCACTCAAAAATCAACAGATCAAATGCATACAAAAGATATGCATGCAGATGATTAAGTAACACAATCCAATTAACAGACTTCATTTCATAAACATGCATTTTTTTACCCAACAAAAAATTACACATCCTTTTCAGACACTCACGGTATATTTTGCAACTATTCGCCATGTGTTAATTAGGCAGGTAAAAATTTCAATGAATTCCTCAAATTAGAAGTTTACATAGGCCACATTCATTGACTATAATGTACTGAAATTTGAAATTAGAAGTTAACCAAAAAGAGCAGCCTTTCCAGAAAACTTTTTTAGTATGTCTTGGGAGGTCTGAGATTTTTGCGACGTTTTCCTCCGCTCCACACCTTGTTTCCGCTCAGGTTTTGTTTGTTGGTTTTACTATTTTCTTATTTTGAACTCTGACACTGTCCATGTCCGTGATCTTTGTTCAGGGCGCTGGATAACTTGCTGTGGTGAGCAGTCACTGCTGCTAAAGCCCCCGTTTCTGCGGGGCAGGGAACCGTGAGGCATGTGGGATGAGAGTTCCTGAGCTGAGAGGGGGGCAAAAACTCTGTGCACACCCACGTGTCCAGGAGCCAGTGGCTGCAACGAGTCGCAGCGCCCTCACCCCAAGAGGCGGATGCTACGGACCCCACAGTCCAGTGGAGCCAGAACCAGCCGGGAGATTTCAGCACCCACGGAGGTGAACAGAGATGCCATCAGATCGCGGCCGAGAGCCAGGCGGTCCCCGTAAGATGCTGAAAACTCAGGCCTCGTACAGGATGGAACCCAGGTGTAAACCCGAGCTTTACACCCAGCCCGGCCCATAGCTCCCTTTTGACGTTGCCCTTGCCTGGAGCCCCAAACACCCCAGGAGGACCCTCATTCAGCCTGTGCAGACTTCTCCCAGGGTCGGCCCTGCACCGGGATGAGCCTGGGGTCCCTGCGGTGTTCACATTTCTTATTGTTCTTCCTTTCCTGAATTACTTACAATTACATCATGCGATCAATCATAGCGTAAGGAACTTTCCTTCTAGGTCTGCGGAATTGTCCTGCTTATCTTACTCGAATTGTACACTATGATTAAAAAAGAAACACAGAAACCGGTCGCCCCATCTCCGTGTGCAGGTAGAGAGCCCCGAGTTAGACCTTTCCTTAAAAGGCGGGTCTCTAGCTGCCGCCTGGGTGGCTCCCCAAAGTTAGGAGACAGCCGGCCCAGCCTCCAGGGTTAGGGCGGTGAGGGGGTGGGGGGCGGGCCGGGTGCAGCCTGGAAGCGGGTGTAGGAGCTCGGATGCCCGGGGCTGCGCGCGGAGCGGGGAGAGGATCCGCGCCCCGCCCCCTCCCCGGTTCTCCCCGCAGGATGCGCGCTGACCCCGGCCTCGCTTTGCTCGCCCGCCCCCTCTCTGGCCCCAGGCGGGCGGCTGGGCTTTCCACTCACCCGGGCTCGGCGGCTCCGGCCGCCGCGGGTGGAGGGGAGAGGGAAGGAAGTACGGTGTGGGGGTGGGGAGGGAGAGGAGAAAGGAAGAAGGGGGAGGTTGCGGCTCCCCATGGCCAAAGGCTCAGTTGAGGGCCACCCGTCGTCAAGGCCATTGTCACGACCCCCGCCGCCCCCCGCCACGCCCAAGCAGGGGATGGGGAGGGGCCGGTCACCGGGGACGGACATCCATCCTTAAATTCGGTCTGGAGCCCCGCCTGCCCCTGATCCCTTCCAGAACTCTCAGCCTCACTCTAGATTCCTGGTCTCTTGGTCGGGTTAGTCCTCCCTGATGGGGAGACCTCTGGAGTCCAGGTGAAACCAGAGCCATGCTTTACCCAGGAGGGCTCAGAATAATAATTATTGGTGGAGGAGACCGGGGAAGAGAGGGGGCAGCTAGAGAAAAAAATTGGGAAAGTATTAACAATAGCTGCTGTTGCAGTCTCCACTGCAGCACACCTGGGCCCACCTGAACCTTACCATTTTCTTACCTGTGTTTGGTCCATTTGTTCCCCTCTAGAAACTGATTCGAATGTAAAACAACCCGGCATGTAGGCAAATCCCTACACGGATGCTTAGCGCAGCTCTTTTTAATATTGAGAAATTAGAAGCTACTTAAACGATCAACACTGATTCTAAATCAGGGCTCATTCTTTCAGTGGGATTTAACGTGCCCGTTTAAAGTCACTTTTACGGACGAATACTTTTGGTAAGTAGTGTTCATTATACAGTAAGTGGAGAAGGCGCAGTTTACAAAACAGTTTCTGTTGAATAACGACGTACAGACGTAACCTGGATGGACGGAGACTGGAAAACGGTTACCTGTAAGTGGATGGATGCGGAGTATCAATTTCCCCCAAAGATGAGAGAAAACAATTACTTCAGAAATCTCGATTCTGCTCTTCGATCCTCTCCCGGTCTTCCTCGCTCGATGCCGTGGAGTTCTAAGAAGCGGTGGCGGCTGGGGCGGCTGCAGAACTTCTCCGGCGCCCCTGCGCAGCCCTTTCCAGCGGGGAACTTAGGCTTCCAAAATACGCCCCTGGAAGAACCTGGGAGGGGTGGAGCCGGCTGGCCAGGGGTCGGGTGCCTCCGCTCCCGTCTCGCCCCTGGCGCCTTTCCTCCCAGTTTGCTGAATTTGGGACGTGATGGGAAACGACAAGGCCAACGAAACGTCCTCCAATTTGGTGTTTCGGTAGAGCCTGAGAACAAATTTTTCCCCATTCCCTCGGAGATCTCCACCTCGTTGATCTCTGGCGTTCCCACACCTAGAAATCACCCGGAGGGTGATCATTTGCTGGTGGGAGGGACCACGGCAGGCGGGAAAGAAGGGTCTCCGAGATTCGGAGCAACTCCCACCCAAGTCCAGAAAACCAGGGAGAGGTGGAACCCAGAGTGGCCACTGGCTCCTTGGAGACCCAGCCAGGAAACGGTGTCCTGGCCACCTGTTCTCAGGTCTCTGGGAACAGTGATGTGTTCCTCAGAATCTACCACGTGCCCCACCCCCAAAAATAAACAACTAGTCTCTTTTTCCACCTCCATTACCCCACCGGAGGCTGCTGTTTCTTGAGTTTTCAAATTCTTACCAGCTTTGCACAGCAATTTGGCCTCTCCAAACAGGGCCCAAAAAGGAAGGGCTGACAATAGCAAATGTTAAGGGAGATTGCACCTTCCTTGCATGTTTGTTTATCTTATCCATGATAAAAATAGTTCAACTGCTTCATTTAATAGACAAGGAAACTGAAGCCCAGTAGACTGACAAACCAGTCCTGGGGGGCAGGATAGCTTCAGCACATAAAGACAACCCTGAAAGAATTTAAATAAGGCCTGCTAGGAGGGCTTCCGGGCTAATCCCCCCTGCCTAGTTACTAACTTCTGGCAAATGGTAGTTTCTACCCATCTGTAAGCTCGGTACAGATACATACCTGCTATACAGAGTTTGGGTTCTTTTTTGGCTTCACATTAACATTGTGAGCTTTGCCCAATGTCATGCAGTAGGTTTATAGAAAGAATGTTAAACATCCTTTGAAAAAAGTTAAATTTTACTGAACCACCCAACACTCCATTGTATCCACATGCCACCAGCCCTGTTACTGGACATTTATGTTATCATGTTTTTCATTGTCAAAAAACAGTGCTGCAAAGAACACGCTGGTTCATAAATCTTTGCATTTCTAACTCTCTACAGAATGGATTTGTAGAATTACAGACTTTTTTAAAAGGCTTGAGACTTCCCTGGTGGTCCAGTAGTTAAAACTCTGCACTCCCAATGTAAGTGACACAAGTTTGATTCCTGGTCAGGGAATTAAAATCTCACATCCTCCAAACTGTGGCCACTTAAAAAAAAAAAAAAAAAACCCACTTTCAGTGCCCAGTGCCTAACTGTCTTCAAAGCGCCAGATTATACACTGTATGTAGCAGAATGGGTGTGCATTGGCTCTGATCACTGGCAAACGTGTGAATTTGCTGTGAGTGTGTAAACGTGACAAGGTGTAGAAGCAGCCTGCTGGTGGCCACATGAGATCTTGCAGAAGCATCCCAGGATAGTGTAACTTCTTCAAGCTTACCTTGAACACATCTTATGTTCCCACCACGACTCCCATCCTTCACCCAACCCCTCCCCCTCCCCCCCAGATTTTACCTGGCACATCTGGGCTGTCACCTCTCCACCTCCCATCACAGGGCGAAAGTTCATCATGACTCTTCCCTCCTCGTGTTCACACCCGCTGCGCTTTCCCACTTGTTTTTTTGGTTCTGTGTCTTTGCCTCCCCTCTCCATACCCTGGAGAGGCGGTCACATACCCTGGGTGGCTGCTCTCACTCTTTGGTTCCTCGTGCACATGTTAAGTCACTTCAGTCTTTGCAACCCTATGGATAGTAGCCCACCAGACTCCTCTGTCCATGGGATTCTCTAGGCAAGTACTGGAGTGGGTTGCCATGCCCTCCTCCAGGGGATCTTCCCCACCCAGGGATCAAACCTATGCCTCTTAACATCTCCTGAATTGGCAGGCAGGTTCTTTACCACTAGCACCACCTGGGAAGCCACAGTAATGACAATAAAGGGATAGCCAGATCTCATCTTTCCTGTGCTCATCCATTCATTCAATAAATATTGAACCACCCTGGAACTATGTTTCCGAACACACTTCTTTCAAACACAGAAGAAAATAACAATGATGATTATCTCTAGCATTTATTGAACACATACTAACTGCCTTAGACATTAAGGATAAGGTTCAGTTCAGTTCAGTTCAGTTCAGTCACTCAGTCGTGTCCGACTCTTTGCAACCCCATGAACCACAGCACGCCAGGCCTCCCTGTTCATCACCAACTCCCAGAGTTTACCCAAACTCATGTCCATTGAGTTGGTGATGCCATCCAACCATCTTATCCTCTGTCATCCCCTTCTCCTCCCGCCTTCAATCTTTCCCAGCATCAGGGTCTTTTCCAGTGAGTTAGTTCTTCCCATCAGGTGGCCGAAGTATTGGAGTTTCAGTTTCAGCATCAGTCCTTCCAATGAATATTCAGGACTGATCTCCTTTAGGATGGATCTCCTTGCAGTGCAAGGGACTTTCAAGAGTCTTCTCTAACACCACAGTTCACAAGCATCAATTCTTTGGCACTCAGCTTTCTTTATAGTCCAACTCTCACATCATACATGACTATTAGAAAGGATAAGGTTAGGTACATGATTTTACTTAATCCTTATATAACTCAATCAGTTAAGTGCTATTATTTCGTGTATTTCACAGATAGTCTACAGAAACTAAAGGTCACATAACTGGTTAAAAGGTGGTGTTTAGATCCAAATCTAGGTGGCCAGAACTCAAAGCTAGATTCAAGAAGGGTGGGGAGTGCTCCAGGCAGAAGGCAGACAATCAGTGAAGGCCCTGAGGCAGAATGTAATCTGACTTGTTAAAGAGACTTTCAGAAAGCTAGTGGCTGAAACAGAGTCCTAAGGGAGATTGTGTTTCAGATAAAGGCTGGAGACCTTGTAGGTTAAGGTTAAAATTTTTGGACTGTAACTTGGAAGCTATTAAAAGGCCTCTAGCAAAGAAATTATTTACATTTTGAAAAGAAGCCTCTGGCTAGGAAGGAAGGGATTTGGAGGGGCAAGAATAGATGCTAGAGCTATTGTGTCAGTTGGGGTGGAGATGATGGGCCTCAGGCTTCTGAGATGAAATGTATGAACTGGAGGTGAGGTGTGACTGCCAGGTAGGAACCTGGATAGGAGGTAGTGGGGCCATTCCTAAGATAGGGATCTGGTGGGCTGTCAGACTTGTAGGAAAGATCTTTAGTTTAGTTGGACATTTGGCAAAATCAGTTGCCTCCAGGGCACACAGCACACAGTAGTAGGAAGTCAGGTCAAAATGTAGGATGGAGATGGATATTTAAAGAATCTGCCTGCCAATGCAGGAGCCACCGGGCACAAGGGTTCGATCTCTGTGTCAGGAAGATCCCCTGGAAGAGGCAACCCACTCCAGTATTCTTGTGTGGGAAATCCCAGAGACAGAGGAGCCTGGTGGGCTATAAATACTCAGAACCTAATTTGGGTATCTCAGCATCTGTGTGTCTTAGGGACTTGATGGTTGGCGACAGTTTTTCTGGAGTAAAAGTACTGCCCCAATGAGACTCATCTTTGAGGGATCTAGGAAAAGAGCTGGGACTTTGCACACTGGGGTTTTGGGAAGATTAGGGCCCAGAACTTAACAATTAAACAACCTCTGGGAGTTCAGGACACTGCAGAGACAGTGTGTAGTGAGAAGAGAAGGCAGGTCTCAGAGGAAAAAGGAGTGTCCAGGATCAGGAGAGGCACCCGGGTTTCACATGCAGACTCACATCCAACAGAGGTTAGACTAGCCCTGGGGGTCAGGCTTGTAAGTCGGGAATGGAAGTAACTATACCCCTCTCTCGGCTCCCCCAATCTGTGGGCTGACTGGCCATCCACCTCTTGCCCCTGTTTAGTTTCAGCAGAACACAATTCTGAAGTGACTTTAAGGGCTCTCTTTGTCATTTCTTTCCAATTTTTACATTTATGTCTCACATAACAAAAAAAAAGGGAGGAGGGCAGAATTTAATGAAAGAACACTTACATGTCATTGTATCCCCTTTCATTACTCCCATTTCTTTCCATGTGCACAGAATAGTCATGCAATTGAACATCTAAAAACGTCTCTCAGGAAATTCCCTGGTGGTCCAGTGGTTAAGACTTCACTTTCTAATGTAGGGGGTGCAGGTTCGGTCCCTGCTCAGAGAGCTAAGACCCCACATGCCTCAGGTCCAGAAAGAAAACCAAAAACATAAAACAGAAGCAACATTGTAACAAATTCAATAAAGACTTTAAAAATGGTCCACGTCCAGAAAAATCTTTTAAAAAAACGTTCATGGAACTGCACTAACAGAAACAGTGAATCCAGTTCTGGTCCCTCATCTTCCCAAAACCCCACTGTGCAAAGTCCCAGCTCTTTCCCTAGATCCCTCAAAGATGAATCTCACTGAGGCAGTACTTTTTCTCCAAAAAAAACTGTCCCCAACCATCGAGTCCCTAAGACACACAGGTGCTGAGATACCCAAATTAGGTAGGTGCTGAGTATTTATTTCATGAAGGAAGGACGAGAGGAAGGAAAGGAAAGTGGGAAAGAGGGAGATGAGTCTTGCATAAAAGAGCTCACAGTTTGGTGGTGAAGATCTTTCAATGACTGAAGGATATTTGGTTAAAGGTGATGATGTACTTATTTCCTATAAACATGGTTGAAAATGGATCTTGATGAGCTTTGGATCACATAGGTGGGCAAATATGAAATGTTTTATTTGAGGCGAATAACACAGAATATAAGGGCAGGGGGTTTGTGTTTGAAACGAAAAAATACACTTCAGTCATCCTGTATGCTATCAAAATAGTGTGCGCTGCATGGTAGCAATTCAAGACAATTTCAGCATGTCTGGTTTTTTAGCAGGCTTATCAACCACTCATTAAGGGAGTGAACCCAGGGAATGCTGATGGCAGTATTAGCTATAAATAAATAAGCTAGCCATAAATAGATAAGCTAATATGTATAATACGTAAATGAATAGACTTTCCTCTGTTGTTTCATGGCCTGAAAAGAGCGCAGCTTTTCATTAGACGAGTCATTTGAAAATGTGGAAACTGATACTGCCGCAGCTCAGCGCTCCCTGCCCATTGATAATGGCCTCTGGATCAGCGGTGGGGGTGGGAGACCGACGTCCATTTACTTTTGCCAAGATTGTTATTGAATGAAACCTTTAATGGGGACATTTACGGGCCCACTCAGCTAAGAGCTCAGGGCGGCCTTAGAAGTCTTCCCTTCCACCTTGACCACTCTTAGAGAATCAATACAGGTAATATGTCAGCCGGTGGTCGGCCGTCCCATAAACAGAAGGTAGAGCTGGAATGGAAAGTGACAGGTAGCCACTTAGAGAGAGGGTCTGGGGTAAACACTCCGAAAGTGAAGCTCCTCTTGGGAGTAGGGGAGTGTCCAGCCCTGCATCACAGTCAGGCCTGCGATCAGACAGGCAAGAGACTGGGAACAAAGGCTTAGCTAGCAGGAAAAGCCACTTACAGCTTAGGAAAGGCCTTCTACCACGGTAGTCCCTTTAGAGCCCCAGAACTCATGTTGGGTTGTCTATTTGTAGTAGCTATAGTTGGTCTCACTTGAAAAAAAAAAAAAACTGTGGTAAAATACACAGAACAAAATTTCCCATTGTAACCTTGTTTTTTTTTTTTTTTTTTGGCCAGGCCACTCATATTTTGTGAGATGTTAGTTCCCCAGCCAGGGATGGAAACTGTGCCCTCTGCAGTGGAATTGCAAAGTTCTAACCAGCGGAATTGCAAAGTTCTAACCGCTGGATTGCCAGGTAATTTCCCCATCTTAACCATTTTTAACTGTACAGTTCAGGGATGTTAAGTGCATTCACCCTGTTGTACAGACCTTACCACTTACTTCTAAAGCACTTCATCTGGCAAAACTGAAACTGTCCCCATGACACATTCATTCTCTGTTCCTTGCCACCCCAAAACCACGATTCTACTTTCGGTTTGTTTCATTCAGCATCATGTCCTCAAGATTCACCCACATTGTAGCAAGTTGGAATTTCTTCCTTTTTAAGGTGGAATCTTGTTCCATTAGATATTAGAGATACAGACCAACTTTATTTATTTATCTGCCCATCAGTTCACAGACACGGGTTGCTTCCACCTTTTGGCTACTGTGTAGTCTCACTTTTGACCCCAAATTCACACAGTCATCTTCTTTCCTGAAGTGAAGTGAAAGTCATTCAGTTGCATCCAACTCTTTGTAACCCCATGGACTGTACATGGAATTCTCCAGGCCAGAATACGGAAGTGGGTAGCCATTCCCTTCTCCAGGGTATCTGCTCAACTCAGGGATCAAACCCAGGTCTCTCACATTGCAGGCAGATTCTTTACCAGCTGAGCCACCAGGCAAGCCCAAGAATACTGGAGTGGGCAGCCTATACCTTCTGCAGGGCATCTTCCCGACCCAGGAATTGAACTGGGGTCTCCTGCATTGCAGGAGGACTCTACCAGCTGAGCTACCAGGTAAGCCCATCTTCTTTCCTAGATAGCAATTAAAAAACAAAAACAGGGCACTTCTCTGGTGATCCAGTGGTTAAGACTCCATGCTGTCTATGCAGGGGGCATGGGTTTGATCCCTGGTCAAGGAACTAAGATCCTTGCAGTATGGCCAAAATATTAAAAACAAAAAAACACTCAGAAAACCTTCCTGGAATTCGTAGAAAAATAATGTTTAGTTTGGAGTACCCCAAGCCTCCTCTCCTTCCACCCTCCACCCTGAGGGTACATCGGCAAGAGGGTGATTCTTATCTTCAGGCAGGTTTGAGAAACTCGGACTTCCACTCAATAGGAACCCCTTTGCTACTGATCAGCCCCTTTTATTTGGGAGTTAGAACATTGCAAGCTCAATAAATGGATTGCCGGTTGTATTAATATTTCTTTCAAAATATGAATTCTCAGTCTTGCAGTTTGTCATCTATTATGAGAAACTTAGAGATCAGGCACTATCTCAGATTGAAGTAAGTATACAGTTGTAAACACAAACCTACTCTTCTCATTTGACACCTGAAATCAGTTTGAAAACCTGGACTGATAGACCAATTGATGGATGACAGATGGGTTATAAGATTAGGTGTCCCAGAGAAAATTTCTCATTCTGCATTTAAGCATTTCTGTAATTAAGATAATTCACATATAGACTTCCAATTTTTAATGTCTCTTGATATTGTATATTTGCTATTTGTAATGTGCTGCAGTCCATGGAATCACAAAGAGTTGGACATGACTTAGCAAGTGAACAACAACAAATTTAGATTAAACACACCCAGTTCTTCCTTTGTATTTCCTCTCCCTCAAACCCTGCCACTCCTTGAAAACAGCAAAGGCATACATGTCCCCAGGTAACTAGTGGAGGACTTTTCAATTTGTAAGTTGACCAAAGTTGCCAAATTTGGCTCTTTGTAAGTTGACAAAGTTCCTGACGGTCCTGTTCTAGGTTCTTCTCCCTGGAAATGCCCCTGGGCATTTGTGAGTCATCAGACTCAGGACCCCCAGGGTGCCCAGATCTGTGCACAGCCTAAGGGGACCTATATTCCAGCACTAGCCTTTCCAGGCTCTTCAGTCTTCCTCTTTGGCAAATGGAAAAGACTGGAATCCTAAATCATGCCTGCCTTGCAGACTACCCAGCCCTGGGCTTCTAGTCACCACTGAAGATTTCAGGCCCTCCAGTTACAGGAATGGGCTTTCCTACTGGTGCAGTGGTTAAGAACCGGGAGGATCCCCTGGAGAAGGAAATGGCAACCCACTCCAGTATTCTTGCTTGGGAAACCCCATGGACAGAGAAGCCTGGAGGGCTACAGCCCATGGGCTTGCAAAAGAGTTGGACATGACTCAGCAACTAAACAACAAGCTATGTATTACATTATCCACTAAAAATGGGCAGGGTGTCTTCCAAAGTTCTTGCTTAGAGGGAGGCTACTCTGTTTCCCTTAAACATCAAATCTCTTCAGTCCCAAAGCCTCCTGGGGGCAAGCCCAGGGCAGTCTATTCCTGTAACTTATGTGTAACTTATGTGTAACTTATGCTCAGTCCTGTCCAACTATTTGTGACTCTGTGGACTATGAGCCACCAGGCTCCTCTGTCCATGGGATTTCCCAGGCAAGAATACTGGAGCGGGTGGCCGTTTCCTTCTCCAGGGACCTTTCTGACCCAGCGACTGAACCTGCATCTCCTTCCTTGCAGACAGATCCTTCACCAGTAAGCCACCCGGGCTCCCCCAGTGGAAGAGAATTTTTAATGGAAGGAGTTTCCAAATCAAATGGAAGAGAATTTGGCTCCGGCATCTTTAAGTCAGATAACCAGGGAGAGGGGAATTCACCAGCATGGCTCGTTCAGGCCTTCACAGTCCTGTGGCCATTGGAGGTTGAGAAAATCTTTCCAAAAGAAAAGAGAAGAAAAATCCTTCTGTCGTGAAAAACAAGCTGTCTTCTGCCTCAGTCACCTTGCCATGTCAAATTGGTTAAGAGTGGGGGAAAAAAAATCACATATTTGGCCTTAAAATTGTACCTGGTATTTTTACTAGCGTTTAAAAAATAATCAATAGATGTCAAATAAAACACAGTGTGGAAGCAAATGGAAAAACACTTGGATTTTAAAACAGTTTGTAAAATCAAGAATGGAATTCCAGTCCTTTTGGTATATATTGTCAGCAAACAGATTTCAACGAAAACTGCTGTGCTGTGCTTAGTCGCTCAGCTGGGTCCAACTCTTGGAAACCCATAGACTGTAGCCTGCCAGACTCCTCTGTCTAAGGGATTCTCCAGGCAAGAATACTGGAGTGGGCTGCCATTCCCTTCTCCATTCAATGCAAACTAGTATGCTATAAATAAATCCAGAACAAATTACACAAATTGACAGATGGAATCCAGAACAAATTACACAAATTGATAGACAGAATTTACATAATGTGAAAACAATTTATCCCACATTTTGAGATAATGAAAAAGATGAAAAAGAATGATGGTGAAAGAATACTTTATCCTGAGACAATCTTCTCCATAGACATTTTTCACTCTAGTTGTAATTAGGGCTAAGTATCATTTCAAAATATTATAATTCAAGGAATTCCCTGGCAGTCTTAGTGTTTAAAATTCTGCATTTCTACTGTAGGGAGCCCAGGTTTGAACCCTGATCAGGGAACTAAGATCTCACATGGTGAGTGGCATGGCCACACACACACACACACACAAAAATTATAATTTATTTTTGTTAAAGTTACTTTAAGCCCACAAAGCAATAAAGTTTAAATTCTTTTCAGCAATAAAAGGAAGCGTCATGTATTTTATTTCCTGAGTACAGAACTTCTTTTAAAAATGGAGAAGAGGTGGGAGAGGGGTTCAGGATGGGGAACACATGTAAATCCATGGCTGATTCATGTCAATGTATGGCAAAAACCACTACAATATTGTAAAGTAATTAGCCTCCAACTAATAAAAATAAATGGAAAAAAAAAATGGAGAAGACTATTTGTTTCTGATTCCTGTACTTTATATAGAGATTATCAATGAGGAAAAAGTTTATTTCTATTTTATAGTATTTTTAACACTTTTTCTTTCAAAGTAAATTTGGCCATTCTATTTTGATACACATTTGATGTATGGCTGTGAGAGTTGGACTGTAAATGTACATCACATGTATGGATGTGAGAGTTGGACTATACTATAAAGAAAGCTGAGCACTGAAAAACTGATGCTTTTGAACTGTGGTGTTGGAGAAGACTCTTGAGAGTCCCTTAGACTGCAAGGAGATCCAACCTGTCAATCCTAAAGGAAATCAGTCCTGAATATTCATTGGAAGGACTGATGCTAAAGCTGAAACTCCAATACATTGGCCAGCTGGTGCGAAGCACTGACTCATTGGAAAAGACCCTGATGCTGGGAAAGAATGAAGACAGGAGGGGAAGGGGATGGCAGAGGATGAGATCATTGAATGGCATCATTGACTTGAAGGACATGAATATGAGGTAAGCTTCAGGAGTTGGTGATGGACAGGGAAGCCTGGTGTGCTGAAGTCCATGGGGTTGCAAAGAGTCAGACAAAACTGAGTGACTGAACTGAACTGATGTTGATACATGTCAATCAATAAAAAAGTGCTGTGATATATTTGAGTTACATGTTTCTATGGAAAGAATTCAAAATATGAATTTGTTCTCCTTAATTTTGGATCTAGTCCATAAAGTAGCAGCATAAGGCATTCTGAAAACACACAGAACTACCGGGTTTGCTGTATGTAGGATCTAGTTCCCCAACCAGGGTTCAAACCCAGGCCCCCTGCATTGGGAGTGCCTGGAGTCTTAGTCACTTGACCACTAGGGAAGTCCCAGTATTTGTGATTTTATCTCTATCATACTGTGAATGGTAGTTTCTTGAAACCCCAATCTGCCTTGTTCTCTGTGGGTAAAAACTAAGCTATGACTTTACAGCCGTAACCCTGTGAGCCTACCTACTGCAGGCCCTGTAGAGTCCCAAACATCTGTCCACTTTGATAGCACTGTTCATTGCAGCCGCCGACTTCTCAAGTCCTAGAAGAGCACCCCGGGGGCCCATTAAGAGCTCCATCAATATCATGGATACCACTTTGAGCCTTATTGTTTTCCCAGGGTTCAGATGTCCCTTTTTATACATTTTTTCCCTATAATAAATTATCAGATAATATTTATCATCAAATAAAGACTCAGATAGGAAATGGAATATAAGCACAGAGATTATTTCCTAAGGTCTCTGAATTCCATCAATCAGGTTCATAGCTGTAGAAAAGGTTCCATGTTTCCAACAGTAAAATGACAACTGCATTCTATGGGTTTCCATTATTCTCAGGAAGAGCACTATTTTGCCTGCCATCTGCATTCTAATGGTTCCTCTTAATGAACCACTTTGTGATTTTACCAAGTCACCAACCTACTCGGTTTTACCCATTGCTATGTTGCAGGGACTGTGAAGATAGATCACATTAAGCAATGGTTTCTGAACTTTAATATGATAACTGGGTGCCTCCCTCAGAATTTCTGATTTAGTAGATATTCAGCAGGGGTAGAGAATTTGCTTTTATAACAAATTTCCAAGCAATTCTGATGCAGCTCGTCCATGAACCACTGAAAGAAAGCATATTTATCTATAATAGAAATTGCATAGTTCTTTCCCCCTTTTGCCTTCATTGACAGGTTAAGAAAAAAGAAATAGATTTAATAAGTATTATACAGAAGGCAAGTTGTTTCATTTTACTTAATTCTCACAACACCCTACAACATAATTATTACCTTATTTTATGGATAAGCCTGTTAAACCTTAAGCATTAAATGGCCTGCCCAGGATTATACAGTGGGGACATGGTGCACAAATGTAAGTTTGGCCAACTCCAAAATCTAGTCTATGCTCTGTGTTCCAGCAGTGTCTGGCCAACACAATTATGTTAGCTGAAAGTTTTAATACTTTCTACAGAGTGGTTTGTCTTCTACTTTAATTCTTAGTCCATTAAAAAAAATTCTTATTGCTTTAAGCTAATCTAAATTATCTTTAGAAATCTGAGTGTACTTTTAAACACAAGAGAGCTTAAGGTAATTACTTATAGGAAGATGTTATGAATTGACTGTACTTTCCAAACCAAACAGTGATATAGGTAACGTGATCAATATTACCAAAATTTGTAGAAAAAAGCTTGGATTAATTAAAAAAGGTCCAAAGCATTCCAGTTAGTGTAGGCATGCATGATCCATATACTAAGGCATTACTTAACATGCATGCATTTTGGAATTAGTGCTAGAAAATAGGAATTTTTTTTTTAACCTTTCTCTGTTACTCTTCCAGTTCAAAGAACAGAGTAGTTAATTTGAATTATACAACTAGTGAAACATTGGCATCACACCAGTTCCTGATGTCTTGCTCTACTACTTGGTTTTAAAATAATGTTCAAATCCATACGGACCGAGAAATATATTTTGAACTAGCAGGCAAAGAAAGGCTGCCTAATTACAGGCTGAGCCCCCTGATCTTTTCAAATGATCATTGTTCTGACTTAATTAACACGAACTAAAACAGTCCTGAAACAACAGGGCACATTCCCATTAGGATAAATTACTCAGACCTACTCACCGCAGCCAAGCATTCCCCGGAGAAAAATCTGTCACTGCTTTTTCCACCTGCACTACATCTCTTTTCAAAGGGCTCTGCTGCTGCTGGGAGACCCTCTGAAGGGACATCTGCTCTGTATTGAATCTCTACGTTTGGAAGAGATGTGGACTATGAATAAAGAGTGGAGAAAAACCCATGGTCGATAGAGCCATGACCTAGAGGCTTAGTAGCATGCTTGCCTATGATACAGTTTTATTCTGATCTCCCATTTTCCATGTGAATATTTAAAAGTTTGCTGTTGCTGGCCCCAAAAGAGGGAAGAATGGATATATTCAGCAGAAAACTGCTATTTCCTTAGCAGGGTTCATAAGCTGAGCATCACTAGTTCATTAAGAGCCTGGATTTTGGAGTCAGGCCAACCTAGTTTTGCCCCTTAAGAGGCAAATGCTGGACCACTTCCTTCTTCCTTCAGCCTTGATTTCCTTGTCCATCAGGTGGTAAACTCAGTGCTAAATGTCATAGGCTTCATGATCCACAGATGTTGGCCATTTGGACCCATGTCAGTCAATAAATAAAAGATTATTCTCAGGACTGCCCTGGTGGTCCAGTGGTTAAGAATCCGTCTTGCAATGCAGGAGACACAGGTTTGATTCCCTGGTCAGGGAATTAAGAGCCCACATGCAACAGAGCAGCTCAGCCCACACGCAACTGAGGCCTGACACAGCCAAGTAAACAAATAATTGTTTACAAAGAAAGCAATAAAAGATTATTCTCCACAAGCTTGCTTTAGTCTTGTGACAATGTCTGCAAAGGAGCTATAGTTGTCTCTTCATCAGGAATGAAATCATGTTTAAACCTAAAGCAATATAAATACATTTATTTCTTAGCCTATTGCAATTTTTAGCCATTCTTCACTTGGTAATAACATTTCTCTTGAAAGTCCCTTGGATAGCAAGGAGATCAAACCAGTCAATCCTAAAGGAAATCAACCCTAAATATTCACAGGAAGGACTGATGCTGAAGCTTCATTACTTTGGCCACCTGACACAAAGAGCAGACTCGTTGGAAAAGACTGTGATGCTGGGAAAGATTGAGGGCGGGAGGAAAAGGGGGTGACAGAGGATGAGATGGTTCAATGGCATCTCTGACTCAACGGACATGAGTTTGAGCAGACTGTGGGAGTTAATGAAGGACAGGGAAGCCTGGCGTGCTGCAGTCCATGGGGCTGCAAAGACTGGGACGTGACCTAGCGACTGAAGAGCAACAACAATAACTTTTCTTCCCCAATTGTTAAAGGTCACAGATGGTGAATGAGTGCTTTCTATGTCCTCCAAGTAATTCTGGTTGGTGCTAAACAAACTATTAACAGGCATTTGTCAGCTGACAAGGG